TCTTCGCTCCATTAAGTCCCCAAGCTATAAAACTATCTTCAGGTATTTAATATTATCTGACGATAGAGTGGATTTATTTGATAATTTCCGCAAAGGTCCATATTAAATATTCAAGTAGAACAAAGGTTCGTTCTGGGAATCAGTTTGGAGGTCGTTCTTAGCCGGGGGCGGGGGTTTTGGGGCAAATTGTTCGGTCGACCCAACTAACGGTAACTAACTTACGGACAGGTAGCTGCGGCTCGCGGGAGGAGTATGGATAACTGTGTATTACCTAAACAGTATGTAAAATACATCGCGCTATTTAAAAAACTTAAATACCCTTGAGGCGGAGTGTTTTACTGACATTATTAAACTATTATGCAAATTTTACTTACAGATTCTCAAACTATTATTTTCAAGAACTTTCGATTTTAAATACATTTATTACGCCAATGCCGATGAAAAGTTTATAATGAGTTTTGGTATAAACTCTGGATACGGGTCCAACTGCAAAAGTATTTTTAGAAGCTTCCTGCTTTTTTAGTTAAGTTTTGAATTATACGTAAATAAAAAGAGAAACTGTCAAATGATACAAAAATATCTATTACATAAAAGTCGAGGATCTATTAGCGATTTAGCGCCATTAAAATAGCAACCACCACGATTTATTGTTTCACATAGGGTTGTGTATAGATTTTTATATTTACACATGAACTTCGTATGCTTCTAAAATGTTTCAAAGCTTTTAAACAGAATAATTAGTTTCTAACGAGAATTAGGAATACTAAATTATTTGTCTGGCTACGCATTTAACATCAGTAGAAATTCTTTACAAGTTATTAGTAGAAAGATGTCTTGAACAAGATGTCCTGATCAAAGACAATTATAAGCTTACAACCATCGTTAAAACGTGAACAACAATGTTTTTATTTACATAAGATTCAATTAATATCACAAAGTGGCCAACCCTAGCCGTATAAAGCCATAAATCATGCGATTCTCTCTGCTTTTTGTTACCATATTAAACGTTTTGCGGTTTCCACGGGCAGCTCCATTAGTATGCGTGTCGTGAAATCTACTTTGCACACGTGCAAATGCTGTATGGGCTAAATTTTCAGCTGAGGTCCGTAACTACTGCTTACGGGCAATATCGGCATATGTCTATGCCCTATTAGTTACTTAATGTGTTTGAAATATTTTTTACTATTTTAATTTTATCTAATTCATCTTGAAGTTATTAGAACTAGTTTCCCTTGATGTGGTCTCTACAAGTTTGATAATAATTAAACCATAAGGACCGTGAAAAGCTTAAGAAATGTACAATCTAGATTTTGACATACCAAAGTCTAACCCACTTTAACTCGTTCTTCTCTTTCGGTCAATTTGTATTTATGCTGTGAAGGAGAGACTACTTTAGCTAAAACGGTGGTATTGAACTGATTGTTTTTATGAAGGCATAGTTCGCGCGGAATGTCGACACACAATATTATTATTACTTTTTCGCGTTACCATTAGATGCGCCTTAGCATTTGCAGCTTATAAATTCATTAATATTTTATTTGCTATACACCTTTACACAAGACTTCATTACTTACACTGCTAGCTTTTACTAATATTATTATCATTTTTTTCTACTAAGTATTATTAATTCCTTTTCTTCCTTTGTTTGCGACTGAGGCGCAAACTAGCTCATGTGGTCTCTGGCAGAATGGCCAGCTGTGGAACATTCTGCTCCTCAGCATAATGCTGAACCAGGGCCAATTACAGCCACAGCACACACGCATTAGTCACTTGAAAGTTGAAACGAACCGAATGGGAAAGGGGATTTTTTTTTTCTGTATATCTCATTATATTTTTTATTTTATTTTTTTCTTTGATTATTGTTATTTTGTGTGTTTATGTGTGTGTGTTTTTGTTAGTAATAAATGTTATGTCTATGTCTATGTCAATACGAATACTAGGGACTAGTAGTACGGAATCTAGTAGTAGGCAATAAAGTACCTCTGAGGTCATGTAGATATTGTGCGCAACTAACACTTGCTCTTACCGTGAAAGGAATACATATTTTAGAAACTGTGTACCACCAATCCACCATCATAAACACTGCTTACCTTTCTTAGGGTTTACTATAAAGGCTGTTGATTCGGCAGTTATAGATTTTTATTATCCGCAACTAACACTTCTCTTGCGTGAATAACAACGGTAATATATATTTTAAAAACTGTGTGTTACCAATCCACAAACCACACATTCAATTGCTTACCTTTTAGGGTTTACTATAAAGGCTGTTGATTCGGCAGTTATAGATTTTTATTATCCGCAACTAACACTTCTCTTGCTGAATAACAACGGTAATATATATTTTAAAAACTGTGTGTTACCAATCCGCACATAACCATCACGATTCAATTGCTTACCTTTTTTAGGGTTTACTATAAAGGCTGTTGATTCGGCAGTTATAGATTTTTATTATCCGCAACTAACACTTCTCTTGCGTGAATAACAACGGTAATATATATTTTAAAAACTGTGTGTTACCAATCCGCACATAACCATCACGATTCAATTGCTTACCTTTTTTAGGGTTTACTTTATAGGCTGTTGATTCGGTATAAATAGATGTTTTTTCGTAATGTAGCTGATATTTCAGAAGGTAATATTTAAATGTCCATTACCAAAGTCCCCGTTCTACTTTTTACTATAAATATGTTTACTACTAGCTGCCCCCGCGAACTTCGTTTCTCCTTCATGTGATTTTACTTAGCCTGCCTTTTTAGTATATACTAACATGGAACATTTTGCTATTCTACCCCAAAGACTGTTCGGTTTTTCGGAATGAAAACTTTTTAGGTTGTTCTGTGATTTTTTCTCTATATAAACCTCAGAGTTCAAGTAATAAGTTTTTAATTAACAAATAAAAAATATGGGGTTGATCAAAGAGGGTAAAACTATGGGTTTTATATATTTTTGTATACTGTATCATAAAAAAAAAATTAGCTATGGATCACCCTTAACATTTAGAAGGATGACAAATATATGTTGTCCAATTCTATGACCTAACCGATATGCACACAAAATTTCACGAAAATCGGTCGAGCCATTTCGGAGGAGTTTAATTACAAACACCGTGACACTAGAATTTTATATATTAGACTAGGTAGCTGATCCGGCAAACGTCATTTTGCCATGTATATCATTTATAATAAAAAATAGGGGTTGACGTAGAGTATTAGAGTATGTATTTTAGTTGTATATAAAAAAAAAAAATAAATAATTTATCTAAAATTTAAAAAAATAGGTGGACTACCCTTAACATTTAGGGGGATGAAAAATAGATGTTGTCCGATTCTCAACTACTACTAACCAAAGTGTTGTTGCTTATAATAAAGTATTATAATTACCTTTTCTAGATATGTCGTTGAACCAACAAATGTTGGACGATTTGGACTAGAGTTGTACTGAAGACGCCTTACGTATAACTAATGAATGCATCACCAGACAAATATAGCAAATATCGATCTCGGTTCCTTTATTTTTGCAATACATCGACGCGAGTGACCCACGCCGCAAGCGGTCTATTTCAGGACTGTTAATTACGCAAATGAAGTGGTTGATTGGTTTAAATCTGTATTCACTGAATACTGTCAATCACGTGTTTGTAAAAAAGATTTTAAATAAAGTTAATCTTTCATAAACATTAAAACTTAGAATTATTGTAAACAGCCGCTTTCATACCGGAAAACAACGCTACAACCTTTTTTGGGTCTGGCCTCAGATTTCTGTATCTGTTTAATGATCATTTGTCAATCTAATAGGCAAGTAGGTTATTTGCCTCCTGTGCTTGAGAAACGCTGTCGACTTTTTTGGGTCGAAAGCAAGCCGGTTTCCCCACGATGTTTTCCTTCACCGTTCGAGCGAATGTTAAATGCGCACATAGAAAGAAAGTCCATTGGTGCAGAGCCGGGGATCGAACCGACGACTTCAAGGATGAGAGTCGCATGCTGAAGCCACTAGGCCAACACTGCTCAACTTTCATACCAAAAACCCATTAATAGTTCGGCTAGCCGCAATAGTTTCCGCAAAGTAGGGTGTTACGGTTAATTATAATTGTAAAAATGATATAATTATGTAGAACATATCTGGTGAGTTCCATCACAGTTCCGATTAAAGATTTATTTCTCATTTAGACCATTACAAAATTCTCTTAAATGGGAAAATATACTAAGTCAATAATACATTACGCTTTATTAATTGTACATTAATACTAATAAAATCTATCAAGAAACCGAAATTATGACGATTAAACAACTATTTGTTTTTAGCACCTGTATCTTAATTTTAAAAAAAATAACTCTCTCCATAGTAGCTTATCATTTAAACAAACGAAATACTCGTCGAGCGAGTTTGCTTATCTTGCCGAAGCCGCGTACAAATTATTTAAAGAAGTCTATTGAGTATGAGGGTGTGCAATTATTTAATCAATTACCCTCTAAAATTCGGGTTATATTAGCGTGTTTAATCAATTCAAAATGGTATTAAAGATACATATTGAAATGAGCCTAATAGACTCAAATTAGGATAGCTGATGGCGACGCGTATGTCGCTCGTATATTATATTAAGTTTCTCATGTAAATAAAAATATATTTTTTTGTAAATTGTAATGAGAAATAATGTTCTTTAAACATAACATTTGAATAGTAAAAAAAAACATTAGCAAGCAAGAAACAGAAGACTTATTAGATAAAAATACAGCAATTACCAACAGTTACACAACACAAAAAAGAAGCATGTTGTTTTTAGTTGATTTCTTGTATATTATAAAAAAAATACTATAATAGAGTCGTATCAAAATTAGGACGTTTAATATAGGCATCGCACTCGAGAGCCCTCTGGCATTGGGAGTGTCCATGGACAGAGGTATCGCTTAACATCAGGTAAGCCTCCTGCCCGTTGCCCCCAAAAATACGCAAAACCAATTTCTATGTCATTTGCAATATTCGTTCAATAAACTCAGTTATCTCTAACGAACACATACATATTTATTCACGTAAATGATGCTGCGTATATTGCGAGCAATAAATCGTTCGTCACGTTGCGCACGCGGCACTGTCGCAAGCGCATACACGGGTAAACGCTCCCGGTAAATACGCGAGGTCAAAGCGCCATTCGCGAATGACGCGTAGCGACACAAATATCTATTCTCGTGAGCTGATACGTCAAATTGTGGTTATTCATACACATTCAGTGAAAATATAGTTTTGGAATATCATTTAATTATTCCTACGCGTCCTTTATAGTCTTAAGTGTTTTAACTATTAAAAATACTCATATACAGTTATAAAATTAATTATTTTTTAACTCTGGGCCACAGATTTCTTTATCTGTTTCATGATCATTTGTCAATCTAATAAGCAAGTATGTGATCAGCCTCCTGTGCCTGACACACGCCGTCGATTTTCGGGTTTACGGCAATCCTTCACCATTCGAATGTTAAATGCGCACAAAAGGAAATTCCATTGGTGCACAGCTGTGGATCGAACCTACGACCTCAAGGATGAGAGTTGCACGCTGAAGCCACTAGGCCAACACTACTCCCACATACACAAAAGCCAAACAAAAGAGCTGAATAACGATTGCAAGCATGGCTTGTTTATAGAGAGTTATCATTGTTTATGGATAAAGCTTTATCTTAAGTATTTCTCTCATATTAACGAGTATATGCTCATCGTACATAAGACCATTTCCGAATACCTTTCAACGACGCCGACGCGTGACGCGGCGTCGGCGATCCCAAAGCGAGGCAATTAGCGAAACGGCCGGAAAGGCAATGAGCTGAACGCGAGGGACACGGCCTATTAATAGTACGGATAATCAATATTCCCCGAGTACCCGAGTATTGGGGATCGGTAGAACCCGCATCAGACTTCCTGCAAACTGCTCTGGACATGTTTTAACAATATAAAAAAACAATCTTGGTTCACATATCGCAATATCTTTGTCATTTCTATTCTAGGACAAAAACTAGGAAAATGCATGGGCAGAAATTTTCAGCACGAATTATATTAATAAAACACAATATAGTAAAACACATAATATTGCTTTACTACAAAAACATTAGTAAACATAAGTAAGCAAAATTCAACGGATATCGATTAATTATTTCTATCCATCAAAAAAATTCGTGATTTGTTATATTTTAACTCACACAAACAAAAATATGGAGCTAGACTATAGAATATTTGTAAAGCAATTTTCAAATATCGAACACTTCGTGACTAAGTGGCTGACGTACTAACATCATAAATTCTAACCATAAACATCTGTTTCAAATTTCACCAATGCCTTTCGGATAAACCCATCATAGGCAAAAAGATGAAAACAATGCTGTCATTTCCGATTCTACACGTTGTATTGACCGACAGCCCCCCGGCGCCGGTTGCCCATAAATCTCGGAGGCCGCGCCAAGCCGGCGATTTCTTTTCCCTTTTTTTCGCTGGTAATAAGATCGCGGACGCGACAACTTCAGGTATACGCGTTAGAGAAGGCATTAGAGATTTGATCAGAAAATGGGTTCCTATTCATAATGCAAAGATTTTTTTTTTTACCGAAAAATTAGAACAAACAAATTGACGTACACACAAAAGTATGAAAAGCGGTGCCAACCTTACGACATGCGGACAACATCGAACCAATTGATAATATATACATACTATAACATAGTGGGCATATTCGCTGTATTACATTAGTTAACGAATGACAGGTTAACGGACCTTTTTTATTGTCCGTTCAGTGAACTGACGAAAGTTCTACTATTCGTTAGTGCCTATAGAAGTTAGTTAATTTATTTTATTATGTAATTCTTTAGCTTGTTGTGTTTTGGTTCGTGTAATATTGTACTGGGTGGCGCAAAAGTACTGGCACTAAAGAAAATTTGTTTATTTTTTTAATGTGACATTTCCTGTCATTCTGTTGTTGAAATTGTGTAGTGAACAAAAGTAAAATACATCCGTGTTACTCCCCAAGAACATGGAATAATCATGTCAATGTTCTTACGGAATAATTCATCAGTGATAAAAACACAACGTAAATTTCGTCGATGATTTCCCCATTTTCAGCTGAACGGCCTGTTCTTCGTCTCCCAGACTTAGGTCTAGCCAATGTTGAGCCAGTTGCTTCAAGGCGTGTAGCAAAGCGTCGGATTGTGCGACCAATCGGTGCCGGACGGTGGGGAAATCGTATCGAGTATATAATAAATAAAATAAAATAATTCAAACGTCGTAATGTAATGAAATCTTGGCATGCGTCATACATCTAGAAGTTTCTTTTTACGATATAGTCCTGAATTCCTGTGCAGTATTATGATACAGGAATGTATAGAGGGACCTTGTAAACTTGTAATACGAGGAAAAGGTTGTGTAATAAACGCATTACAAATAATATAAAAAACATAAGCTTTCATTTAACCTATCATAATAGGTAGAGGATAAATTACTTTGAATTCCGGAGAAAATCGATTTCGTTGTGTATCTATCGTTTCTTACTTTACTAAAGTAAGTAATTACTTCACTTACGTTACTTACTTTACTTTACTGTTTATTCGATTTATATACTAACACGTTATACCTGCGCATTACAATATATAGAATAGTTTTTTTTTTTAAAGACAATTCACAGCAATTGACCTAGTCCCATGCTAAGCTGGTGAAGCTTGTGTTATGGGTACTAGGCAACGGATATACATACATATTATAGATAGATAGACATATAAATACATATTTAAACACCCAAGACCTAAGCACAACACCAAATGCTCATCACATCGATGTTCGTCTCAGTCGGGGATCGAACCCGGGACCCATGGATTCGCAGTCAGGGGTACTAACTAGGCCAATGAGTCGTCATTAATCATTACAATAAGAAAATTCATAAAAACAGCTTTGTTTTAAAACGATTTTGAGAATGCTAGTCCATCGATATACAATCTTACAAAACCTGCAGCTCACGATAGCAACTGATAAGAGCCTGTACTGATAAGGCTTTACATAATGCGCATGATTCACACAATAACATTGTAAACAAGTAAGAAGGGTTCAGGTAGAAATTTCTTATTTATCAGTTGCGGTGGCCTTTGTGGTATGAAGAGTATTGAACTTAGAAGTCATACTTATTGTTATTAGGACTGGGAATCTTATAAATACCATTGGTATTTACGTCACCACGCCCTCTTGCTAATGACAGTTATAACAGTAATACAACTTTACTAGTTTTAGACAAAACTTATATGATCTAGCTGATCCGGCAAACGTCGTTTTGCCATGTATATCATTTATAATAAAAAATAGGGGTTGTTCGTAGAGGGATGAAAATTAGGGGTTGTATGTATTTTTTAATGCTGTATCATAAAAAAAATAATATTTATGTAAAAATTAAAAAAAATATTTAGGGGTGGACTACCCTTAACATTTAGGGGGATGAAAAATAGATGATGTCCGATTCTCAGACATACCCAATATGCACACAAAATTTCATGAGAATCGGTCGAGACGTTTCGGAGGAGTTTAATCACAAACACCGCGACACGAGAATTTTATATATTAGATTATTTCTTTATTTACATCAATTTTGCAGCATGATGGCATTGTTTTCTGTCAATATGGCAGTTTCTCGCTGACCACGACTGCCAAGCACTCAAAACGTCGATGTATATGTGTAATCTTATTTGCATAAACATATTATGCTTTTTTAAACATAATATAACATATATAGTTGTTTGTGTTTAAAATTTGCCTTGGCGTAGAGATGTTCTCTCTGCATCTTCTACCGGATTTACCATGGTGAGAGTTCAGAGGAGTTGTTCGGACTACCTGCAGCTGATATTCATCATCGGATGTCAAGGCAGAATTGAAAATACCATCCGTATAACCTCGAGGTCCGTCGTTCCACAACTGAGCGTTTCTTAAGGCACTTTTTTGTCGCGCACCACCACTATGTGGAACCAGCTGCCAACTAAAGTATTTACAAACCAATTCAACTTAGGGTTATTCAAGAAGCGTACCAATTTTTATAAGGCCGGCAACGCACTCGCAAGCCATCTGGAATTGATAGTGTCCATGGACGGCAGTATCACTTAACATCAGGTGAGCCTCCTGTCCGTTTTATTACATTAAAAAAAATCCAATAAACGAGTAACTTGGTTTTCGCGAGTACACATTAATATACATTCACGGATTCAGGGACAGATTGAAGCATTCAATAGTTAACTAAATAATGGAACCACGCTTAAATCCTTCAAGTTTTATTTGCAATAAATGCATTACAATTGTCACTGATCGAGCCGCGACATCGTGAGAGCCGCTGAATTCGGCGCTTCCGGCAACCCTTGCCATTCCCACGAGTATCCGCGATTCGGCCCTCGACTTCGCGAGATACTTTTGTAAGCCAGGGCTGTCACATAATTTTAATTACTATTTTATTTGCTATGGCGACGGATTTCATTTAATTGAATACTGAACGATACGACGGTATAATTACGTTTTCAGCTTAAAATACGTCCAAGTTATTAATAAGTATTGACGTACTTAAAAGTTTTATAAAAAAAAATTTACTGAGACAATTTATATATTTCTTTTATAGAAACATGGTGTGCAACAGCCATAACATTGAAATAAAAGGCTCGATTCAGCAATTTAAAACATATCGTTAGGAATATTTAAATGTAATCGACAACCCTACCAACCGCGACTTGTATTCTAATTGCAACGTGCATCTTGCCGGCTGCAGCAAGGACCTTCGCGGACCAAAAAAATCTTTTGTTCAAGCGGTCGCTATGTACCAGGTAAAAACTTCATTTATAGATGTTTATCGCTTTGTTCTAGGAATCCTTTCATTCAAACGTGTTCTCTCGGTGTTAGTTTCAAACCGCTTGGCTCAAAGAATGTTCTATTACATAATCCTAAAATATTGTTTGTATTTTCGACGAGATAAAATACCATATACTAGTATTAAGATGCGATATTTAATTATTAAAAAAATGTCCCGATGTAATGATCCAGTGTTGTGGCGTTAAAATCAATCTTATTATAATTTTAATTATTATTATTTTATAACTTGACATCGCCAATGATTACGTATAAAAATACTAATAATTAGGCGTAATAATTTTTTTTTTAACCGACTTTCGAAAACCCGAAGTAGGTGTTCAAACTGCATTTTTTGTTGACTTTTATATGTACTCGAAACTTTTCCCCGTAACGCTTTTGTATTGGATATATGCAAAAAGCATGAGGACACAGAGTACTAAAAAAAGAAAAATTATCTATGAATCAGACGCAGAAATGTATCTACCGTGCCCCATCGGTGTATCTGTAGCAGAAGGCCGTTCCTTGTTTAAAAAGATTGGTAATAGACAACAAACCTGCCCTTGTGTATGTGACAATCATTAACTATGCAACAAACAGCTTAAACCGTTTTAATTAATCTCGACTATTTGATTGTTTGGATTAGCGAAAAGCCAAGTACAATCGCGTACACATGTCATGTGTATTTGAGTGAAACGAGTACAGTCGTGTACAGTTAATCACGGACAGGATGCGAGCTCGACTCATTTACATGCGCGGCTTGCTCCAGTCGCTCGAATGGCTCATGCCGATCGCCTGACTCGCGGTCGCCATTAGTGATGTAACATCGATGTATTGTTACTAGAATGTATTGTGATATATATTTTCTTGTTTAAGCATAAGACATGCTACAAAATGTTAAACAAGAAAAATCCTCCTTCAAGTAGCATATGCTCCTCCTTATGCTCCTTACATACAAGTTTGCGTAACTTTTGACGTGATAACGTCTAATAAATCGATGAACACCGGATGCACGCACGTAAAGGCATGACTCATTGTCCCGTTACGCTCATTGTACGCTTGCGCCGCATCTATTTCTCTTCCGCTCGAT